ATATTAAGGAGGACTTCAGGGAATACAGGGCTTTTTGCATAAAAAACGTAATTTTTCCACTCCCATTTCACCCCCCGGGGCAAAATCAAAATTCCAAAACCTTACTGCACATCTACATGACACCACCAACCATCTCCCAAAAGAAGATTAGGCTACTGTGTAAAATGTAAGAGGAGTTCAGGGAAAACGGGGCTTTTTCAAAAAAAAACATCATTTTTCAACCTCCATTTGCCCCCCGGGGGCAAAATTGAAATTCCGAAAACTCACTGCACATCTACATGACACCACCAACCATCTCCCAAAAGAAGATTAGACTACTGTGTAAAATGTAGGAGGAGTTCAGGGAAGACGGGGCTTTTTGCATAATAAACGTCTTTTTTCGCCCCCCATTTGACCCCCGGGTAAAAATCAAAATTCCAAAACCTTACTGCACATCTACATGACACCATCAACCAACTCCAAAAAGATGATTAGACTACTGTGTAAAATGTAGGAGTTCAAGGAAGACGGGGCTTTTTGCATAAAAAACGTCATTTTTCCCCCATTTCCCCCCCGGGGGAAAAATAAAATTCCCGAAACCTTACTGCACATCTACATGACACCACCAACATCTCCCAAAAGAAAATTATGCTACTGTGTAAAATGTAAATTTCGGGGAAGACGGGGCTTTTTGCATAAAAAACGTCTTTTTTCCCCTTTTGCCCCCCCGGGGCAAAATAAAATTCCAAAACCTTACTGCATATCTACATATTACCCCCAACCATCTCCCAAAGAAGATTAGACTACTGTGCAAAATGTAGGAGGAGTTCGGGGAAGACGGGGCTTTTTGCATAATAAACGTCATTTTGACCCCCATTTGACATCCTGGAGCAAAATTGAAATTCCAAAACCTTACTGCACATCTACATGACACCAACAACCATCTCCCTAAAAAATTAGGCTACTGTGTAAAATGTAGGAGGATTTAGGGAAAGGGGCTTTTTGTTTTAAAAAAAAACGTTTTTTTACCCCCATTTGCCCCCCGGGGGAAAAATAAAATTCCAAAACCTTTTTGAAATACATGACACCACCAACCATCTCCCAAAAGATGATTAGACTACTATGTAAAATGTAGGAGGAGTTCAGGGAAGAAAAGTGTGACAGACGGAAGGACGGAAAATGGTGGACGGACAAAACAATATCCCCGAACTTTCTTTAGAAAGTGCGGGTTAATAAAAGTTTTTCATGTTAATAAGAAGTCATTAATACTCTTTTCTAGAGTATTGGGGTCACGTTTATCATGCTAACATTCATGTTTATTTTGGTACTGTTCAACTGCTGTGTTGTATTTCAGTCCTTCTCATTGTACCTTAGAATCCTTACAGATGTGCAATCTGGCGTTGGATATCTGTTCATCAAGAAAGAAAAAATGCCATGAAGTAAATCTGATATATATATATACCATTAATTCAATTAAATTAATTAATTTATATCAAATAAATAAATTAATAAATTAAAAGTTTACAAAACAATAAACAAAGCATTTATCAATGTAAATATTTTACCAACTCAAATCCATCTCTCATTGCAATCATTCCTTCTTCGTCAGAGACATCAAAGAAAACGAATATTTACTAATTTTCAATGAAATCGATATGTATTAATTGAAGAAAGGCAGCGCACGTGTTGCGTGTATATAAGGGTGTGTGTGTGTTTCAATTATTCTGTTAGGCACATTTGTGCAGAAAAAAAGTGTATAATGGCTTTTAGCTGAGAAATGTAATCAATGCAATTAAAATATGATATGCAACGAATGGAACAGCTTGCTGTCTTGAATCTAAGCATACTTCTAAAGTTAATGTAAAATACTTTTATAAATAAACATAACACTATGTCTTAATTTAGTAAATCATTAAAATACTCTATACTCTACTCATTACATGTAAAACCTCGCATTTTACCATCACAGGCATCAAAATTGCATTTTTCTTCACATCCTCCTCCCTTTCTTCTGAATGGACATGGTTTTGAACAGTTTATAGCAATAATCTTGAGGCCCTCTGAAATACAGCGAGATAACGGCAATGCAATAATCTATTCCCATCATTTGTTGGTTTTTTTAGTTACTTAATATATTTATATTGAAAAGGCAAAAAATATGCTAGCAAATAAAAAATAACGAGTAGTTTTATTATTTCTATTACTTGCAGGTTAAACATTTGTACAATATTCCAAATTATTTTCCGTTTTAGTTATTGGCAATGGAAATTGCTTAAATATTTGGAATACATTTTTTCATCTTTTCAATGCAAGAATTGGTTTTGCAGTCACATTCCTCACATATTTTCTACCATAATATTCTTGTGGATAAGGAATTAAACAAATAACCCACCGAAACAAACTGAATGCAATGCATAAATCATAGAGAAGGACAGTGTCATTTTCATCCTCTTTCAAACATTTCTCTTTAAACTTTACGATGGTGTAAAGGTCATTATACTATCGCAAATAGCTGCCGCCATATTATCATCTACTATGTAAGTACATGTTCATGTGGTACATATAGCCCTTATGAATTTACAGAATGAAATAAATTTACAAGTTATAAAATATTTAAATATAATTAAGCAATGCTGGTAAACCATAAAATCCTTTGAATTAAACAAGTTATGAATAAAATTAAATAATTATTTTTTTTAGATTGGGGTTAACTTGTTAAACACTTTAAATTTCTATTAAGAACTGAAACTATTTTAGATACTGATTTCACAGTATGTTAATTTGATTAAACGTTTTAAAAAAGAACTATGTTTGTAGAAAGATCACAAGTTTAAAAGAATAATGAGTAAGAAAGAAGATTGATTGATTCTATATTGTTTAACGTCCCTCTCGAGAATTTTTTACTCATATGAAGACGCCACCACTTGCTGGTGGAGAGCTGCAATTTTTTTCCTTTACCCGGCACTCAGGGCTATTGAGCAGGAAGGGATCTTTTTCATGCCAGCACCTACTGCGACACGTGACCTCGGTTTATACGGGATAATCCGAAGGACCGGTCTCCATGCCCCACACTGGGATTCGATCCCGCGACGTAAGGATTAACTACTTACTTTGTGACTCTAGACCTGACGTTCTACCACGGCGCCACGCGAGCGACCTAAGAAAGTAGAAGACAAATTAAAGACCAAATACCTGTTTCTGATTGGTCCTTACACGAACCATTCATACTATCACAATCTTTACAGAAGCATTTTTCTTCACACCCTCTACCATAATACCCGGGTGGACAAGTATAGAACAATCTTTTCCAAAACTTCCCAAGCAAACTAGAAGAAAAATGCATAATTGGTAAGATTAAATATACAGTAAGGTCTATGTTTGGCAGTATGGTTGTTTTGATTGTTTTGATTTATTGTTATTTCATACTTATTGAATGAGATGTCTTATATTAGTCCATAGCTTAATATTTAGAGACTTGAATACTGATCGTTATCTCCATGTATTAGGGAACACGTACACTGTACCTAGATTCTGTGGTCTAATAGTTTAGACAAGGTTGAAAGAAAAAATTGACTATAGCAAAAGAAAAATAGAATCTCCTCCCCCATACTTTGATATTTCGCATTATATCATGACTTAATCAACTGAAAGTATGGTCTCTGTATGCCTGAAAGTCCTCCACTGAACGCATTTAGGGATAATTGGGGTATTCATAGATTTTCAAATTTGGCATGAATTCCAAATAAAAGTTCAAATGAACAGGTTTTTCAAACATAACATATATTTTATTTTTAATTTCCTCTATTGGGAAAGTATTCTTATATACGTAAATAGTATTGAAATTGTTATCCTACTTCGTGGCATGGTTTCGTTAAAACATTCCCCTGTCGTTGCATTACATCTCTCACAGGGACATTCTTCTTGACATTTAACTCCAAAGTATCCTCCAGGACATGGCCTGCTACATTCGAGCCCAAATGAACCTACGCATGCTATATTAATAATGAACTCATTTAAAGTAGGCTTCTTTTGTTTTAACATCAAAATCGTATAAGAAATCATTGCATTAATTACGATATCTTTCTATCTGTTAAGGAATTGAAATACACGAATTTACATTATAATAACAAATCAAGTAAATTTATCATTTGATATAATTTGATAATTAAGTTTAGGTCAAAAGCTTACGGAAACATTTCCCTCCTAAAGTTCTGTAACCATCACAACATCGCAAAATCCTTCTACATTTAAACAGTGTCATTATGTTATATTTGTTTATGCATTCATTGATTTATTTATCTATTTATCAAAATTTTCATGCATGGATAAAAAAAAAATATATAACTCACTGGTCACTGGAAGTAAAATCCCAACACAATGGTTCTACGAATGACGTAAGTTCTCGAGTGGATTCCAAAAACATCAAAGTAAAGAAAATGACTTTAGAGTATATCATATTGAAAACAATCTTTACTAATGTTTTTCTTTACGGACAATGTGTATGATTTCCTGAATGGCACTTCTCCCAATATTACATTTTAAGAGCACTTAGAAAATGAAATATCAAAGTATTGAAATGATAGGTCGCGAAAAAGTATGATAAGTGGGTTTATGCAATTTTTCTAATCATTTATACATGTATCACGTCTCCTTGACGTGTAATAAGTCATCCTCTTTGAACTTAATTATTTCCTTTTTTTGAAAACTCATAATTAAAATCTTATTTCTTTACCTTAAATGGATTTCAAGGAAAATAATTAAAATAATTACTCAAATAAATTTCAATTTCAATTCATTAATATCATACATGTAAAAAAAATTCGAATTTTCCTTCATTTTTTCATTTCTTAACATGGACATGCACGTTCAAATTTTCTTTGTTTACTTTATGATATACATTTGTAGGTGAATATTCTGAAAAAAAATTCAAGAATATTTAGTAAAAGAAATTTGAAGATGCACGCATCCATTCTTATTATTGAATTTCATATTACTTTGAACCCAATCATTCAATAAATAAAAGATTAAATCATAACATGTTTTATGAAAATAAATCTTTTTTTCACTGAAACATAAAACATCTTCAATAAATGCTAAAGTTTATCTGTGATGCAAGAAATACATGAACATATCAAACTGTATATAACATAAGAAAGAAGCAAAATGCTACGACTGTATGTCAATCTCTCCACAACGAATGAAGAGTTTTTAAACGGGATAGATAAAAATATGAGCATATTATTTTAACAGTATGTCACTGTGATTGATAGTGTAAAACGATGGGACATAAAGCAAGATCCAAGGTAGCAAAACATCGTCAAATAATTGAAAATCAGCTTGAAATGAAGCACAATAAAAAGATTGTAACCGTGCAGTGCAATTTTTCCAACACTTTTTCTATACATAAAAAAACAAATTTTATTTATCAAAAGATGCCCTAACCTTGGGCCTTTATACTAAAGATAACAAAATACTTTTATTTAATTATTTATTCCCCTCGTCTTTCTGCAAAATTAAATTGATTGAGCACTCGATCCCGATCAAGCCGAACCCGATCCAATATAGAGTTCGATCCCGATCCAGTCGACTCCGTTCTTAATACATAAAAATCAATAACAACTGCAATTTTAATTTAAATATGTCAAAAACAATGTAAAAAAGATTGTATATAAAACATTTTATGAAACATAAAATTTTATTTATTTGGCGATATAGGCCACGGCTGCATTAAACAAATAAGGGAGCCCAGCATCAATTCTTGAACAAATAAGGGAGCCTAGCATCAATTCTTGCCTTGGTGACGTCCCCACAAATAAACAAGCATTAGTGGTAAGCCCTGGGAACAGATGCTCGCCTGCTTGGACAATAATTGCAAAATTCAATCAATTGTGTACCAAGTCATATATTAAGATTTTAGGTTAGTCACTACTGGTGAGCCAAATATCCACTTGGGCAATATGTTCCTCCAGGTAGGATCCGATTTCAGCCGTGACGATTTGGGCAAGTCCTTGCTGCGGGTATGGATTAAGGCTTGATATTATCTGGAAAAGAAAACAGAACAAAACACGAGAAAGCAGCAGATGAATTCCATTAACATACTACTTTTATTAAGGGGTGAGGTTGGGGGGGTTGGAATTTTGCAGAAACTTGATATTTTGCGCGCGACGTCACGCAGAAGGATAAAACGTACGCTCAACTTAGGACCTGGGGTCCCCCGCAAATAGTTCGTCATTTTGCGTAGTAATAAAACATTCTAGGAACTTTCCAGGCATTAAAGGCACAAAAGTAAATTTATCGATATCAATACGGAGACCTCAGGTCACCTTATATATAAAATGAATTTTATATGATAGACAAAATGACTCCAAAATAATCATATTGATAACTATATAAAGATCAATATTCTAATAATATATATTAGCAGAAACGTGAAAGTAATAAAGGGTGACCAGAGGTAACCTCATATTGTACATCAATAGAGGGACCAAAGATCACCATACATTGTACATCAATAGGGGGACCAGAGGCCACCTTATATTCAACATCATTAGGGAGACTAGTGGTCACCTAATATTGTACTGTACATCAGTAGAGAGACCAGAGGTCACCTTATATTTTACATCAGTAGTAGGACCAGATGTCATCGTATATTGTACATCAGCAGAAGAACCAGAGGTCACCTTATATTGTACGGGGACTAGTGATCACCTAATATTGTACTGTACATCTGTACCGGGACCAGAGGACACCTTATATTTTACATGTGTAGTAGGACCAGAGGTCATCTTATATTGTACATCAGCAGAAGGACCTGGGGTAACCTCTTGTATATCAATAGGGGGACCAGAGGACACCTTATACTATACATCTGTAGGGGGTCCAGAGGACACCTTATATTGTACATCAGTAGGGGGACCAGGTTTCACCTTATATTGTATATCAGTAGGGGACCAGAGGACACCTTATATTGTACATCAGTACGGGGACCAGAAGTCACCCGATATTTTACATTAATACGGGGACCAGTGGTCACCTAATATTGTACTGTACATCAGTGGAGGGACCAGGGGTCACCTTATATTGTACATCAGTAGGGGGACCAGAGGTCACCTTATATTGTACATCAGTAGGGGGAACAGAGTTCACCTTATATTGTACATCAGTAGGCTGACCAGAAGTCAATTTATATTGTACATAAGTAGGGGGGACCAGAGGTCACCTTATATTTAACATCAGAAGGATGACCAGAGGTCACCTTATATTGTACATCAGCAGGGGTACCAAGGGTCACCTTAAATTTGTACCTCAGTAGGGGGACTAGAGGTCACCTTATATTTAACATCAAAAGGATGACCAGAGGTCACCTTATATTGTACGGGGACTAGTGGTCACCTAATTTTGTACTGAACATCTGCAGCGGGATCAGAGGTCACCTTATATTTAACACCAGAAAAAGGGACTAGAAGTCACCTTATATTGTACATCAGTACGGGGACCAGATGTCACCCGATATTTTACATTAGTATGGAAACTAGTGGTCACCTTATATTGAACATCAATAAGGGGACCAGAGGACACCTTATATTATACATCAGTAGTAGGACCTAGAGGTCATCTTATATTGTACATCAGTAGAACGACCAGAGGTCACCATATATTGTACATCAATAGGGGGACCAGAGGTCACCTTATAATTAACATCAGTAGGAAGACCAGAAATCACCTTATAATTAACATCAGTAGGAAGACCAGAAATCACCTTATATTGTACATCAGAAGGGGGACCAGAGGTCACCTTATATTGTGCATCAGTAGGGGGACCAGAGGCTACCTTATATCGTTCATCAGTAAGGGTGACCAGAGGTCACCTTATATCTAACATCAGAAGGGGGACCAGGGGTCACTTTATATTGTACATCAGTAGGGGGATCAGAGTGCAGCTTATATTGAACATCAGTAGGCTGACCAGAAGTCACTTTATATTGTACATAAGTAGGGGGACCAGAGGTCACCTTATATTAAACATCAGAAGGATGACCAAAGGTCACCTGATATTGTACATCAGCAGGGGTACCAAGGGTCACCTTATATTGTACATCAGTAGGGGGACCAGAGGTCACCTTATATTCAACATCAGAAGGATGACCAGATTCACTTTCTATTGAATATCAGCATGGGGACCAGGGGTCACCTTATATTTAAAATTATAAGGGGGACCAGAGGTCATCTCATATTTTACATTGGTAGGGGACCAGAGACCACTTTATATTTTCCATCAAAAGGGGGACCAGAGACCACTTTATATTTTCCATTAAAAGGGGGACCAGAGGTCACCTTATATTTAACGCCAGAAGGGGGACTAGAGGTCACCTTATATTGAACATCAGTAAGGGGATGAGAGGTCACTTTATATTGATCATTAGCAAGGGTAACAAGGGTCACCTTATATTGTATATCAGTAGGGGGACCATAGGTCACCTTACATTGTACATTAGAAGGGGACCAGAGGACATCTTATTTGTACATCAGTAGGGGGACTAGAGGCCATTTTTTTAATTGTATATCAGTAGGGGGATCAGAGGTCACCTTTAATTTAACATCAGAAGGGGGACCAAAGGTCACATTATATTGTACATCAGTAAGGGGATCAGAGAACACTTTATATTGTACATCAGCAAGGGGACCAGGGGTCACCTTATATTGTGAATCAGTAGGACCAGAGGCCACCTTATATTGTACACCAGTATGGGGACCAGTAAAGGGAATAGAGGTCACCTTATATTATACATCAGTAGGAGGATTAGAGGTCACCTCATATTGTATATCAGAAGGGGGACCAGATGTCACCTTATATTGTACCTCTTTAAGAGGATTAGAGGCCACTTTATATTGCACGTCATTTGGGGGACCAGAGGTTACCGTATATTGTACATCAGTAGGGGGACCAGAGGACACCTGATATTGTACATCGGTAGATCACCTTTTATAAGGGTCGTTTAATAAATAATGTCTTCGGTGCTCGGAAAGGAACAAAAGTCGCTTTTCAATAATTTAATTAAAATGATTTAACCTAAAATAATCTTTTCATTAAAACACATGTAAGTAACATTTTTTATCCAATTTCTGATTCATTTTCAATTGTTTTTTGAACTCATTTTTGGGTATGAACCTTTGTGTACTGAATTATTGCAGATCCTATGATTTCCTGGACTTGTTTCTTCCTTCTGAAAGGCGATTTCACAAGTTTGTCAAATGGAACAAGTCAAAAGGCGAAAGTTTTGGCGAATATTGTTAATGTGAATGAACATTAACTTTTGTTTATCCCCAAGACTCCTTTACTCTTCAGGGCTTTCGGGTTAGGACGCTGTCATGAAAAAAATCTAATGTTGTTGATTCCTGATTCTCATTAACCTTTTAATTTTTTTTTTTTGCAAAAAAAATTGCTTTCTAGATTTCTCCA